TTGACTCTGCTGGACTTACAAACACCCTACTCCACCAAAACCGAACAAGGGTTATGGGCCCAGCACACATCCGCTGCACCAGAAGGGAAGCAGAGCCAGTGGGAAGCGGAGATGAGCTGTCCTCCACAGATTCCAAACTTGTATTCTTCTGCAACTTGCTTTGAAGTGTTGCGGCTTGAGCTGTGAGTAATTGCTTTGCTTATCTGCAATGATTTACAAGAAAGAAACTATCTGCTGTTTAGCTGAATGTTCAGACAAATAGAATGGAAGTTCTCTCTGAATATTTAAAGGGACAGTGTTCTTTGAGATAGCCGGAGTGAGGCAAGCAATTTTCAACTTTTGTGCCACAAGTAAAATTCATCATGGATGTCACTAAATTTCAGAAGCTGACCAGTGAAAAATTTTCATCTTGGTGTGTGTACTCAGAAACATTGTTAATAAGAGAGAATCTTTGGCAAGCTATTGATCTGGGCTTATCTGCAGCACCCACTCCAGCTGAGACAGAAAGAAATGAGAAAGCTGTTGCTACCCTTCACCTCATTCTTTCTGAAGCCCAATTAAATCATGTAAGGGGCATATCAGTGGCTAAAGACTTATGGAATACCCTGAGGGACATCCACCAGTCTGCCTCAGCGCTAGCCAAAATGATGTGGTGTAAGCGCCTGTATGGTCAGAAGATGGATGACAGGCAATCTCCTGAAAAACATCTGGAAGTGATGAGGGAGTTGTTTGCCCAAGTCCAAATGAGAGGCGTGGATATCTCAGAGGAGCAGAAAAGTTACATTTTGCTGGGTTCCCTCTCTACTAGTTATGACAATGTTTTGCATGGTCTGCAAGGTGTGCCTGAAGCACAACTTACAATGGAGCTTGTGGCTTCTAGAGTCATGGAAGAAAGCCAATGCCGAAGGTTTGAAGCTGAGCAGCGCAAGCAGGCATCTGCAGCTTCAAAGTCTTCAAATGCCACAGAGGGAGAGTCCAGAGAAATGCTAACTGAAAAAGCAGCTGTTTCCAGAGGAAAGATTTGTTACTACTGCAAGAAAGCAGGTCATCTAAGGAAGGACTGCAGGAAGCTTGCAGCTGACAACAAGAAGAGGAATCAACAACAACCACATCCTGGTGGAGGAAACAAAGGAACTGCAGCTGTGACTCGAGGCTGTGACAGTGTGACTCAACATCCTAAAAGCCAAAATTGGGTCCTCGATTCCGGCGCCACCACAAATATGATAAACGACCCTGAGCTACTCAGAAGTAAGAAGCCCTCCACAATCAACTCAGTTGCTCTAGCTGATGGAGAAGCAAGAGAAATCCATGGGAACTGTCTACATTCCTGGGTTTGGTAAGACTTTTGATAATGTTTTGTGTGTGCCTAAATTGCAAAACTGTTTAGTTAGTGTGTCTGCTTTGACCACAGAAGGGTATACACTGAAGTTTGTGGGGGAGGAATGCTTAATTTCCAAAGATGGGGAAGTCTGTACAAAAGCTGTAAAGAAAGAAAGAATGTACTGCATGGTAGATAAGGCAGAATGTGCAGTTGTACAAAATGAGCCTTTGCATGCAAACTGTATTCATTATTTTCACAGAGTAATGGGTCATGTTGGTTTTCAAAATCTTGTGAAGCTAGAGAAAATTTGTCCTGATTTTAAAATATCACCCTGTTCAAATCACCTGGAATGCTCAGATTGCAGCAGGATTAAGTTGAAGGCTTATCCTGTGGCAAAACGAAGCAAATTTATAGCCAAATGTCCATTTGAGGCTGTGCATTGTGATGTTTCTGGTCCCATGATTGTGACACTAGGGGGCAGCAAATATTTCATGGTGATTGTGGATCGTTTCACCAGGTTTTCTTATGTGATACTTCTGAAAGAGAAGGGTGAAGCAGGGGAAAGATTTAAAGAATGGGTGAACATGGTTGAAAGGGAATTTGATTTCAAAGTGGGGTCTTTGATCACAGATAGAGAAGGCGAATTCTTGTCTCACACTTTGGAAAATTGGCTAAGGAAAAATGGGATTAGACACTTCACAACTAACCCTAGGACTCCTCAGGAGGATGGAATTGCTGAGAGGAGAATAGCCATCTTGAAACAGATAAAAGATTGCATGATGCTAGATGCAAATGCTCCTGAGAACCTCTGGGGGGAGGCGATTCTTACAACTAACTTTTTGGCAAACCGCACTTGGAATTCAGCTGTAAAGAACACTCCTTATCACATGCTTTACAAAAGAGCACCTAATTTGAAATACCTTAGAGTGTTTGGGCAATATGCAAATGTCTATGTGCCAGCTGCTTTCAGAAAGAAAAATCAATCTAAGTGGAAAAGATTGATGTTTTTGGGTTATTCTGGGAATAGTTATAGATTTCACCTTGGAGCAAGGAAAATTTTGTTTTCAAGGAGTGCAAATTTTGAGGAAAAATTCAGGTTGGGAAAATGTGCACTCCAACAAAGAAGTTTTTCTGAGGTTGGGAGAGTTAAGAACACCTGCCAGAAATGGAGGGGTGGTGAAACAGGAGTCTGATTCTTCAGACAGTGAAGCAAGTGCATCAGACAAAACAACACAAACACGACCACAGGCACCTAGAATGACTGAAACTAGAAGACACAGAGATAGAGAACCTCACACAAGTTTTGATACTGAAGATGAGGAAGGGAAAACAAAAACCATCATCCTGAGACACACCCAAAGAATCCAAAAACCACCAGATCATTTTGTTGTGCAAGAAGCTAGGGGTTGCACAGTTGTGGTTGATGAACCTGAAAGTTACAAAGAGGTGCAAAATTGTCCTGATGAGGAAAGGTTGAAATGGGAGTCTGCTGTGGAGCAGGAGTTC